TGTTTCATCACAATTATTGTTATTTGTTCATAATAATTAAATAAATGTTGCAATTAAGAATCATAATAATAAATAGATAATTTATGTAAAATAACACGTATTCGTAAAGCGGAAGTCTTATTCTAGAAATTTGACTGATGAGTCCATTGAAAGTTAATTAATTATATTGTTTTTCATGAAATATAGGGAGATAGTATATCTATATAGCTTATTGTGATGCAAGTAAAAAGGTCGCATAGTTAAATAGTTTGTTATGTAGCGGGTTGTCAACGTACGGCCGCTATCATAGGACGGGAACCAAGACATAAACGTTATAAAGAGTTGTACAAAAAAGATATTATGGTAGAATATTATATTAGTGATGAAGATATCAAATTTTTTCAGCTTTGTCAAACATAATTTTATATGGATATGATGACAATACAAAAGAAAGAGTGTATTGGTCATGTGTAAAAAGGATGGATACTCAATTGAAAAATCTTGAGAAATATTTAGGAACTAATACGAGTAAGCTGTCTAATGGAAATAGTATCGGTGGAAAAGGAAGACTTACTGCACAACTGATAGACCAACTCACTAAATATTAAAGAAATGCTATACATACTCATAGTTCATCAACAGTGCAAGAAATGAAAACTGCTATCTAGGTAATATTCTACCACAAAAGTTCAACAGATAAAAATCCACAGCATTAGTTTTTTCCTGAAAAAAAAGAGAATGTGTTTATACCAGAAAGCTAAGGCTCGAGGGATTGAAAACAGTTATAAGCATCCAGGTAGAATTCCTAGTATAGTTATGGACTCTAATAAAATATTTAAGATGATTCGTCATCTAATGATCTATTGGAAAAATGCTTGAGAGACTTCGCCCAGTACAACAACGAGAGTTTTAGTAACCTTATCTGGAAAATTGTTCCAAAGACTTCATAATTCTAACTATTTTTAAAATTGGTGTGGATATAGCTGTAGTCATTTTCAATGATGGAAAAATAGGATTTCTTAAAATTATGGAAGAGTTTGATATCCTTTCTAAAAAACCTGCACTGGACTAAATGAAAATTAGCAACCACCAGAGACTATTTTTTGAACACAAGAAAGTATCAAGGAGGCTTGTCAAGCTCTGAAGAGTTTGCAACTAGGAGAAGAAAAAAACCCTTATTGTGCTGGAACGTACTAATTAATGTGAGTAGACTGTGAAAAAAATATCACTTTCAATGTACAACATCTTCAATCAATTTTTTTTAGAAAAACTTTCTCTCACTTCACTTCTATACACACTTTTATATACATAATAAAATGGGTGTTTCTGCAAACGATTGATTCAACAATTAAAACAAAAATTAATTCGTCATACTAAATACTAAACCTGACAAAATATTTCTGAAGGGATTTGGTGCGCTGAATCAAAATCCAAGCTCAAAATTGCTCCATCGCCCCTAGTTTTCGAGATATCTTAACCTAAAACCATCAAAAACACATTTCTTTGTTATTTTCTAACCCCTGTAATTTTGTGAAAAAAAATTTTTTGCAAATTTGACGGTATGAAAAATTGAAGAGTAACTCTTGCCCTTCAAAAGGCACCTCCCATTTTTTCCAAACTCATTTTTGGAAGAGAGCAATCATAAACCTAGTAGGGTACAAGATTAGTGGGTTAACCCTTTTCCTCCCAAATAACACAAATTTTTTCTTAACTTTCATCCTTCATATCTTTTAATGAAAAAATCGTATGAAAAATTTATCAAGCATCACATCTTGTAGATTTTGACCTCCTCTTTCGAATGCCGTTGACAAAATTTACCTAAATTGTAAGCCGGAAACGTTATAGGCCGGTTTTCCGGAAAATTCACAAATTTTTTACGTTTTTTTTTCTAAAAAAGTATATTTTGAAATGGAAAAAGTTTGCACACACAATTGTAAACACTGTTATCGGTGTTATAGATGTCTTTTCTTTCAAATGCCGTTGGATTTTTTCCGAAATTAAAAATGGCGAACACAAAATGGCGTTCGAAAGGAAAAATTTTTTTTTTCAACTTGACGAATTTTTTTCTCCAAAACTATCAAGTTTAGTGAAAAATTTCTAAGAAGAAAAATGTCTTAAAATTAGTCAAGAAATACTCTCAAATTTTTTCAGATTTTTTTACAGCGAATTTGGAAATTTCGATTTTCCGATTTTCCACGAATTCGAAAATTAACTCGGAAAATTCTGAAAAAAATTGAGAGTACTCCAGGGTATTTTAAGACTCTTTTGTTATTATGAATTTTTTTATTGAGTTAATAGTTTTTGAGTAAAAAATTACTCAAAAAACATAAACTAATGAGTGCATATATAAATCATAATCTTTCTTTACATTTTACAAAAGAAAAACCGAATACTTACTTACTGGACTATTTACCTGAATCTCATATACGAGGGTCGTTTGAAAAGTCCGTGCAAAGTTAGAGAGATGGCGCTACTAGTGCGTATCAAGGTTATTTTCAGTTTATGGCATATCTTGGAAGAGCATACACCAAGTTTCAGCCCGATCGGCCAATTACTTTGCGTTTTACATTCGTTTCAATCAAAGAAACCGAGTGGTTGTAAAAAAATGGACGAAAAAGAATTTCGTGTATTGATTAAACATTACTTTTTCAAAGGCAAAACGCCTCAGGAGATTAAACAGAAGCTTGATAAACATTATGGTGATTGTGCACCTTCGATTAGAATGATTTATAAGTAGTTTCAAAATTTTCGGAGTGGCCATATGAGCACAAAAGACGCTGAACGTTCTGGACGCCCTGTTGAGGTTACCACTTCAGAAATCATTGATAAAATCCATGATATGGTGATGCCTGACAGAAGAGTGAAGGTGCGTGAGATTGCTAGTACTGTAGGCATCTCGAGCGAACGGGTACATAATATTTTGCACCAACATTTGGACATGAAACAGCTATCCGCTAGATGGGTGCCGCGATTGCTCATCATTGACTAAAAAACGAGATCTTGTGAAGTATTGCAAGAATGGTTTGCAGCTGTTCCAGCAAAATCCGCAAGACTTTAAGCGTCGTTTCATCACTGTAGATGAAACATGGATACATCACTACACTCCTGAGATCAAAGAACAGTGTAAACAATGGGTTACCAAGGGGGAATCTGCTCCGAAAAAGGCGAAGACAATTCTTTCGGCCGGGAAGGTTATGGCGACTGTCTTGGGATTCGCAAGGAATAATCTTCATCGACTATCTGGAAAAGGGTAAAACCATTACAGGCGAATGTTATTCATCGTTATTGGATCGTTTGAAAATCGAGTTGCTAGAGAAACGTCCACGATTGTCCCACAAAAAAGTCCTCTTCCACCACGACAATGCGCCAGCTCACGCTTCACCAGTTGTGGCCGCAAAACTGATGAAGATAGGGGTCCAACTCGTTTCACATCCCCCCTATTCTCCAGACTTGGCTCCGTGGGAATATTATTTGTTCCCTAATATGAAAAAATGGCTGGCGAGGAAAAGATTTTATTCAAACGAGGTGGTGATTGCAGAAACGAATGCCTATTTTACAGACTTGGACAAATCCTATTATTTGGAAGGAATTAACAAACTAAAGCACCGTTGGATGAAGTGTATGAGCCTAAAAGGAGACTATGTTGAAAAATAAAAAAAGACTCATTTAAAAAAATCAAGCACTTTTTATTTTTGCACGAAAATTTTGGACTTTTCAAACGATCCTCGTACATATTTCGTATAGCAATATCATTTATTCACTATCTCAATATATTAGATAAATTATGAATAAACTTAGTGTAAACAAATAAAAAGCATTTAAAATAAATGAAGCTGCAAGTTCTGAAATAAAATCCCGTTACACCCTTTACCTTATTGATTTCCTACTCTGGCAAAATGAGATTTTCTCCTGTTGTACTCTACAAATTAGGAAAATAAGTCGTCTCAACTTGCTATTAATATAAAAAAATTCTTCCCCTCCTCAATATATGTGTAGTACACATATGAAGCGTCATAGGCTAGTGCATTAAAGCGCACAAGCATATACAGTGAGAAAGAGAGAGAGAGAGAGAGAGAGAGAGCTAGACAAGCAAGAGAGAGGCGGCGCTACACGCTAAGCGAGTGATAGCAACCACTAAGAAAATTACAGCGTAGATCTTTAATCATCGGAGAGGTGGAAATTTTCCACAGCGAGACACTGACCACCGCGAACAAACACCCGACTGCTTTCGAATGTAGCGCGCGTCGCATCTTTATCTTCCACCGGAAACTTCATTACAAGAGCCGTGAACGAGCAACATCGAGTCAAGGTCAGGGGTGAATTGACATGTTTCTAGAGGCCCGAGAATACAGCTGATACAGAGCACTTCCGTCCCTGCGCGCGGAGGTTAAATGCACGTGGAGTGAAATCCAGGCTGAAGCGTAGGAGGTTCACAACATTATTCATTGACCGTGAGTAATTTATTCAACTTTTTCACTCTTTCTCTCACTCCCGAAAACGGCTAACCTATAGTCAGTGCAGTTCAGCACAGTGCACATAAATTGGTGTTCTGCATAAAGTTGAGCAAGCGAGATGCGAGAAATCAACGGCGCCGCTCCTGTAAAAGGCCTCGTTGCAAACACAACTACAACGCTTTCTCTCCGTGTCCTCCCTGCCATTTTCTTATTTAGTTACAGTTCCGGACAGGAGGAGAAGGACAGTGCAATTCTCTCTGCGGTCGATTGTACCGTCAGTCAATCGAATTATTTGAGTAGCCGCTTGCATTTTTCTCTTTGCAACGTAGGCCACAAAGTTAAGCTGCAAGCGTATGCTCGTTTGCCCTTAGTTCGGTGATTTGCCTAATCTATGCAAAACTTATATTACAATTTTATATAATCATAAAAATAATACATATTAATTTTATATTATTTTATGTGTATGTATATATGTATGTATGTATGTATGTATGTATGTATATAACATAGTCATAATATTATATTGATGTTTATGTTTCCTATTAAATGCAGTAAACAATTTTTCAGGAGTAAAAGAATTATGTATAAGAATAAAGATAAATCGGTCCTGAAAGAGAATAAAAAACATAAATTAAAACCAATCTCATTTACATCTGGGATTCCGAATAAAGTTGGAAAAAGTAGAATCAAATTTCGTTTTCCCTGCAATAGGAAACTTTTAATTGGAAATTTGGTTCGTATTATTACACTGATAATGATATGATTATTAAAGTATTTTATATATATGACGTATTTCGCGTCAACTCGATCATCGAGCTTCGACAAAATTAAGAACGTTCAAATAAGTCGTGCGATGGTTCAAAATATTCGTCTTAGACAGAACTTTTAAAATAATTCTGGCGATTTTAGATTTTTCAAGTGGCGGATTTAATATGACCACCGAAAGTTAGCCTCTACTCGATTTTTAACGTATTTTTTTATAAAAATCTTATTTTTATCATTAGTTACTTGCAAATATATTCTATAAAGTAGTTTTCTTTGCTGAATTCGAATTCATTGTCAAAATTTCGAAATTAAAAATGGTGGATCCAATATGGCGACGCACGACCCGGAAAACTAAGCTAAGTCGAAAAGAATCAACCAAATGGACTTGAAATACTTAATGGGGTAAGTTGATTATTATCTCTGGCATGAAGTATTCCGTAACGTTTTGGACGTGGATGTATAATATAATAATTTCCATGATATTTTATGTATTAACATTTTTTTAATTAATAATAATGGTAAATATAAAATATAATAATTAAAGAATTTCTGATTTTTCAATTTCTTTTTATAAAACATACATATCATTTGTACGAGGTCTGTCCGGAAAGTATCGGGCCTACCTTTATATTTTCGTGCTAGCGTTATTCTTTATCATCTGATGGGTGGTATTCTTCAAAGTAATCCCCACTTGATTGAATAACACGGTTCCATCGATGTTTCCACTTTTTAAAACAGTCCTGGAACTCACTTTTAGGGATAACCTTAAGTACACTCGTCGCATTGTTTTCAACCGTTTTTTTGTCATCGAAACGGTGTCCTTTGAGTGGTTTTTTTAGTTTTGGAAACAGCCAAAAGTCACAAGGGGCTATGTTGGAACTGTATGGAGGTAGTTGAAGCAATGTGATATTGTGTTTGCTCAAAAACTGCTGCACAAGATTGGATGAATGCGCTGGCGCATTATCGTGATGGAGAAGTCAGTCACCACTTTCCCAAAAGTGCGGCCATTTTCTTCTTACTGCATCACGCAAACGTTTCAAAATTTGAACGTAGTATTCTTTATTGTTTGTCTGACCTGTTGGTGCATATTCGTGATGTACAACACCTTCACAATCGAAAAAAACAATCAACATTGACTTAACATTGCTCCGACTTTGACGTGCTTTTTTTGGTCTTGGCGATTCAGAATGCTTCCACCGTGAAGATTGTTGTTTTCTTTCAGGATCATAACCATAAACCCATGAATCATCACCTGTAATAACTTTTCTAAGCGCATTATCATCATTATTGACCATTTCCAGATGGTCCAGAGCGATTTCTAAGCGAATATTCTTCTGCTCTGCTGTGAGCAATTTTTGGATGAATTGCGCACATACGCGTTATTAACCATTTCCAGATTATCCAGAGCGATTTTTAAGCGAATGTTCTTCTGCTCTGCTGTGAGCAATTTTGGAATGAATTTCGCACACACGCGTTTTATTCCTAAATTTTCGGTTGAAATTTCTGAAATGATAGTTTTTGGTATCCCAAGGTCTTCTTCTAGTTCTCGCACAGACATACGACGATCTTATTCGATTGCAAGTCGCACCCGCTCAATGTTATCTGCGGTTTTTGTCGTCGAAGGTCGGCCGGAACGAGAATCACTATCGACAGAAGTGCGACCATTTTTGAACCGTTTATACCACACTTTTATTCGTGTTTTGCTCATACACTCGCTTCCGAAGGCCTTTTGCATCATTTCAATAGTTTCCGAACTCGTTTTTCCGAGTTGAAAGCAAAATTTGATGCAAATTCGTTGATCTTGTTTTTCAGTCATTTTTGACAATATCAAAATCCGACGAACGCGAAAAAGGCACTGAAAAAAAAGCCACGCTGCGCATGAAATATACGTCCGGCAGGTGTCAGTAAGTAACCAATAGATTCGTGAGGCTTTACTGTTGACGTTTCTGTCCGGTACAGGTCGCTTGAACACTCTGGCTCGAAGATATAAACGTAGGCCCGATACTTTTCGGACAGACCTCGTATGTTATACATTTTAGCATTCTCAGTCAATATAATTTTATTTATTTTTTTATATACAACTGTTCTAATATACGAATTTTTCACAACAAATAGTTCATAGAATTTAAAAAAATTGGAATAATGAATGTGATTTGAATGCTCGCAAATTGAAATTATTTTTGCTGGATTGAATAATAATTACATTTAATTATAAAAGAGTGAGTTCATTTTTCATGCAAACATTTATTGATTATTCAAATATAACTTGAGACATTCGAAAATAACGTTGATTATTCTACGCGTCAAAATTCATCTGAGCAACCTGCTAAAGTAGCAAAGGTGCATGAATCACATGGAAGAGCCAGGTTAGACGTATATTCATCTGTAAATGAAGACTAGATAATAAAAGTGCTGAATCAGAAAAAGAAATTGAACTAGAACTCATGTTTGATAGGTTGAAAGATAAATTCAATTCGCGGAAAAAAAACAGATCCTTTTCGCTTATCAATTTTAACAATTATTCCCGAGGAATGGACTATTCCTAAAACAGCTAAATAATTCAAAACGAATAGGCTTATGGCAATAAAAGCTCAAAAACTAAGGAAATGGAAAATAGTATTAGCACAATCAGCATTAAAGAAAGGGAAAACCCTTATCAAATGATACCAAGGAATTGATCATAGATTTCTATACAAGTGATGTGAATAGCCGGTTAATGCCAAATCTAAAAAATGTCATTGTAGTATCAGAAGATAAAACTAAAAAATTGGAAACAAAGCGTGTGTGTTTACATAGAGAATTTAAGGAATTGTATCCAAATAATCCTATCATATAAACCTTCAGACAAATTTTCAGAGCTTTGACCAGAATCTAGCTTTGACCAGAAACTGGCTGGAGCCAAAGGCACACATAGTTTATATTCATGAAAATTTCAAAAATATGATGAAGGCTGTTGATTTGGAAAGAATAACGCTTGGGCTTGAATACCCAATAAAAAAATATAATATTTGCTTTTCAATTATTATTTGCAAAGAACCGACAGTTGATTATTATTTGAAAAATTGTATAGCTTGCCCAGGTCAATACCTACTAAAAGAAAGAAATATTACGGAAGTCATTTTCAGCGTGTGGCAGTTAACCGATAGATGTACACTAATGAAGCAATGTTTACCTACAAAAGACTTCATCTCTGAAAAGGGCATTCAATTAAAGAAATTATTGCCTGATTATTTTATTTTAAAAATCATTCGACTTATCTCTCTCAAATGAAAGAGTAGCTAAAACCAGGAGAAGTATCAGTCTGCATTGACTTTTCTGAAAATCTGAAATACGTTGTTCGAAATGTTGCCCAAAAATTCCACTTCAATAATGACCAATCTACAGTTCATGTTGGCATTTTTTATTATAGAAATGGTGATGCGATTGACCATCAAAGTTTAATAGCGTTGTCTGAAAGCATGACCAATGATTTAGCATCAGTATAGATGTTTTAAAAGAACATGATAACAGAATTACTCGTAAAGAAAATGTGTCCTAATGTGAAGAAAGTAATTTACACTAGTGATGGTGCTAAGAAACATTACAAAAACAAGGTTCAGATGTGCAATCTCGTACATCACCACGAAGACTTTGTCATAAAAGCAGAATAGTACTACTATGCAACAACTCATGGAAAAGGTGCTTGCGACGGTGTCAGAGCGATACTCAAAAAAGCGGCCGTTCGAGCTAGTCTTCAAGCAAAACCAACAGAAACCATACTGAACTGGAAAGATCTGTACGAATGGGCAGTAGTAACATTTGAAAACTTAAAAATATTCTATTATAGTAAAGAAATGCATAATAGAACACAAAGAAAGTTATCAAAAAATTGTTCAAAGGCGCCAGCAGTACCGCAGATCGAAAGTCTACATGAATTTACTGTTGGACCAAAAAAAACTGAAAGTATTTAAATATTCGGCAGATTATAAACCTGTGGCGACAGTGATACACCAAAATTAAAAAGAGCCAATGGATTTCTTAGTAAATATAATCAAATACTATTTTCTTCATACACTGACAAGGGAACCACCGTAACCCTCCGTCTCCGATTTTTCTACAATTAAGATATGTTATAGTTCGTAAAAAAATAAAAGACCCGTATTCTTAACACGATGCCAGTTGAGAGTTCTTCAATAAACAGAAATCAAGTATTACTAATCGTGTTGTGAGTTAGCCAACGGTAGGGTTCAACTTATCGTCGAACTGTACTGTAAAGGTGGGATAGAGAGTCAAACATTTATAATTCTTGTTTGCAAGGCAGTGAAGTCACATTCCTAGGCTTTGACAACTTGGTTTGTCTCGACAGATGGCACAATTAACGATTTAGAATAAAAAAAAATGAAGGAAAAACGATCCGCAAACCAGCCGAGCGGCCTGAAGAGTCATTATATGTATATTCGTAATAAAATTATTCACTTTTAATCTTGAAAATAGAGGGCCCATTATTCTTTTAAAAATACATAGCAGATTTTATGAAGAGTTTTATATCATAATTTTAAAAAAGTATCATCATTTGATACCTTCTTATTGTAAATGAATTAAAAGCTCTCTTCTTTTAACAGGATTGAGACTATCATACTCACAAGGGAACCACCCCAACCCTCCGCCTCCGATTTTTCTGCAATTAAGATATGTTATAGTTCGTAAAAAAAATAAAAGATCCGTATTTTTTTTATCGGCGGAAAAAGCTATCTAAGGAATGAAACCCACCCCCAAAAAACAGCCCCAAAAGCAGTTCTATAGCAATATCTTTAGTCGTAATGAATATTTTTTTATGAAACAAAAAAATACAAAATACTTATAAAAAAAGTAACAGACACACATCAATTTGGTTTCCGGGGGTTGCAACCCCTACGTTGTATAGAGGAAAAACTGTATTTTTAAGTGTATTTTTACCTTACAAAATCAAAAAATTATCTTAAAAAAATT